TTTCCAGGGTATTTACAAAAAAAATATTTGCCATGTGTTTACCCATCACTACATATTATGTATTACTATACATATGTAAATATTTTAGGAGCACATTACACAACTATACTTAGTTGTGAGGTAGCTCCTAATAAGAGTTATCCTATCGCTACCTCCATGTATAAATAAATAAATATTGCGGCATACTGTATAAATACAAAGCGTGTCCGGAAAATAAGTGCCGTTTTGATCCACTGCATGCTCAATACCAGTGTTTCCCAACCTTTTTCATCTTGCGAACCCCTTATAAATTTAAAAAAAATTGACGAACCCCTTGTGTAGTTGTTACTTACAGGTAAGAAAAAATGAAATCATACAAGACAATTGATACAACACTCTTCATTCATAACAAAAAATAAAACATAACCGTAAAAAATCTAACCACAAACTTTACCTTAATAAAGACTAAAATAATAGATAGAAGAAAATCAAAACACAAAATTGACACAACGCTCTTAATGAGATACTTGCGCCTGTTTGCTAGAACACAGAAATTCAAAGTTAGGCTCAACGTCTGACAGTTTCAGTCTTAAATCAGGTTCTGCATTTAATCTGTTTCTGTATTTATCTTTCAAGTAAGTATATGTGGAAAATCCTTTGTCATAGATATGTTGTGCAAGAAGGTAATAAAACTTTGATAGCTTTTTCTGACAAAATAGCGTATTCATTTCCAATACTGAGCCAAAAGTGTATTAAAGGGTGGTCTTTAAAAATCGCTAGCTATCAGAGGATAACTCAATAAGTTTTTCTTTTAGCAGTAAAGTTAAAGAGATCTCCAAATTTAGATCTTTTTGGAAAGGACTACATATTCAATTATTTGTTAGAGATATAGTGCGTCTATTAATAATAATAATAATAATTCATTTATTGACCTGATAACAAAAACCTGATACAAAAATGTAATAATATAGCAAAATAAAAATACTATTAATTAAATCTGAATATAATAGCTGATGATTTCAGCTATTATAACGAGAAGGCACTAGTATACCTGTAGTCCAAATAATGTCGAAAGAAATCGACAGATTCATGGCCAAAACCCATAAACCTAAGAACAGCAAGCAACATCTGATGACTGATAGTGTCAAATGCCTTAGAATAGTCAAGCGTCACCAGGGCCGTAATAAGGCCAGAATCAGAGGAGCGCACAATGTCATCCGTAAGGTTGAAAAGAGAAGTAGCGCACGAAAAACCCGGAAAAACCCCGATTGGGAATCAGCCAGAAGATTATCACAATTTTTTCAACAACCTTGGAAAGGCCGCGTAGAAGACAAATGAGCCTTAAATCGCTATAATCGCAACAGCAATATACTGGAATTTAGAATGAAATTAGACTGGAAGAAATTTAGGATATGTAAAGTATATCTAGATATAAAAGGAAAACACATCTTGACAAATTTTAGTGCTATAGCATAGCACTAAAATTTGTCGAAGAAAAAATTTCTTTCCGTTGATTTATAATGCCGTAACATCTAGTTGGATCGTTTAAATATTGTTTAAAGATTAATATTTGTAATGAGATGAATATTCTATATCCTTCTCCTGTAAACCCATCAGACGTCGTGCCTGATGACGACTTTGCTGTGAGTCGAAACATATGTAGCACTGATCCTGAACATTTAATAAATTTTCATCTTTACATCTAAATTCCTCTATTAATCCATCAAAGATAAACATGGAGAAACTAATAGCTATATATATAATATATGTCTTATAAGTTGTTTTAAATCAATTAGTTCTATTATTTTGTCAATTTTGACTTTACCACTACTTCTATAAAATTCCGTCATTATAATATTATTATTGGGAACCCGTTTGAAACAGCTCGCGAAAGCTCTGTGAACCTGGAACCCGAGTTTACGATATTTTGGTTTTATTAGTACCCTTCGATAGAGAATCGTTTGTACTCGTTTATACCACCTTTACTTTCGTTTGTACCTCAGGACTTAAAGTGAGAAAAAAATTTGGAAAAATTGCCGGAACCCCACTTTTTGATTTTCTAATTTTATTAATACCTTTCGGTAGAGAATCGTTTGTACCTGTTTGTACCACTTTCGATTTCGTTTGTTCCTCAACCGGTTCCAAAATACAGCGATTTTTTTATTTTTCAGAATACCGCTGAAATTGTGTATCTCCGTTATTAACACAGATATCGCAACACGGTCGATGGAATTCGATAGAGAATCATTTGTATTCGTTTGTACCACTTTTGTTTTCGTTTGCACCTCAACCAGTTACAAAATACAGCGATTTTTTGGTTTTTGAGAATACCGCTGAAACTGTGTATCTCCGTTATTAATACAGATATCCCAAAACTGTTGATGGATTGCGATAGAGAATCATTTGTACCAGTTTGTACCACTTTTGTTTTCGTTTGTACCTCAATCAGTTCTAAAATACAGCGATTTTTTGATTTTTGACAATAACGCTGAAAGTGTGTATCTCCGTTATTAATACTAATATCGCAAAATGGTCGATGGAATTCGATAGAGAATCGTTTGTACCAGTTTGTACCACTTTTGTTTTCGTTTGTACCTCAATCAGTTCCAAAATACAGCGATTTTTTTGTTTTTGAGAATACCGCTGAAAGTGTGTATCTCCGTTATTAATACAGATATCCCAAAACTGTCGATGGAATTCGATAGAGAATCGTTTGTACCCGTTTGTTTCACTTTTGTTTTCGTTTGTACCTCAATCAGTTCCAAAATACAGCGATTTTTTGGTTTTTGAGAATACCGCTGAAACTGTGTATCTCCGTTATTAATACAGATATCCCAAAACTGTCGATGGAATGCGATAGAGAATCGTTTGTACCAGTTTGTACCACTTTTGTTTTCGTTTGTACCTCAATCAGTTCTAAAATACAGCGATTTTTTTATTTTTGACGATACCGCTGAAAGTTTGTATCTCCGTTATTAATACTAATATCGCAAAATGGTCAATGGAATTCGATAGAGAATCGTTTGTACCCGTTTGTACCACTTTTGTTTTCGTTTGTACCTCAATCAGTTCCAAAATACAGCGATTTTTTTATTTTTGACAATACAGCTGAAAGTGTGTATCTCCGTTATAATACAGATATTGCAAAACTGTTGATGGAATTCGATAGAGAATCGTTTGTACCGCTTTCAATTTCGTTTATAACCCAACAGTTTCCAACATTTTTTAATATCTTAGGGGAAGCCCTGGGTCTCGGTGTTCCCATACTTTTCAAGTACATAAGACTAAATTGACGTTTGGGTCGTAACCGTTCTCAACTCTAGCCGGTGTGGCCAGGTATGCACCGTTTAATGTTTTGATGATTTATATCGACTGGACTTATCCATACAAACACGTGTTGTATACAAGTCAACATACTAGCAGGTATTTCCGCTTTTTTTTTCACTTTTTGTCACATTCGTCATTATATGATCTTCGTCGATAATCTTCACTGTGAAACGTTATTAAGGTTAATTCTTAGATGTGCTATGATAGGTCGTATTTTTAATACTTCTTTGCAAACAAGTCTGTTTATCTGGGTATTATTCTTTTTTATTCTACTCTCGTCTTTTTTATTATACTGTTTGATTAAACGCTTTGTTGATTAATTTTGGGTTTCGGGTGTCGGAAGAAGTTTAAAAATGCCGCGTGTAGCTAAATTTTCTGTTGAAATGATTTTTAATTGCCGGTGGAAACAACACCGTATCTCGTCCACGGTGTTGCATTAGAATTGATATTGTTCACCTTATCAAGCTGTATTTAATAACGGAGATACACACTTTCAGCGGTATTCTCAAAAACCAAAAAATCGCTGTATTTTGGAACCGGTTGAGGTACAAACGAAAACAGAAGTGGTACAAACGGGTACAAACGATTCTCTATCGAATTCCATCGACCGTTTTGCGATATCTGTATTAATAACCGAGATACACACTTTCAGCGGTATTCTCAAAAACCAAAAAATCGCTGTATTTTGGAACCGGTTGAGGTACAAACGAAATCGAAAGTGGTACAAACAGGTACAAACGATTCTCTACCGAAAGGTATTAATAAAATTAGAAAATCAAAAAGTGGGGTTCCGGCAATTTTTCAAAATTTTTTTCTCACTTTAAGTCCTGAGGTACAAACGAAAATAAAGGTGGTACAAACAAGTACAAACGATTCTCTATCGAATGGTACTAATAAAACCAAAATATCGCAAACTCGGGTTCCAGGTTCACAGAGCTGCTCGCGAACCCCTGGGAGTTCGCGATCCACCGGTTGGGAACCACTGCTCTATACTAACGAATCGCAATCATTGGGTCGCGATCCAATATTGGGTCGCGAACGGTCGAAGAATGGGTCGCATAAATATTTATTATCATCATAAGTATTATACTTAATAATAAATTTAACTTCTTATGGGTTGCATTAAGATTTTATTGATGTTTTTGGGTCGCTACTTAAAAAAGTTTGCGGAACGCTGTTCTATACCACCAGAAGTGAGAGTGACTCATCGCGTGAAAAAGTACGAAATAGCGCATTCATGATATGCCATTTCACTCTAACACACGTCAACTTATGGGCGTAATATCTGTACCGTATGCGGAAAATAATAACGGACATCGATTAATCATTCCCGTTTGTTGTGGTATCGCCTATATTACATGAGATTGTCACAAAACGATTAAACGGAACTGGTGTTTTAAGTAAAAGTAAACAACAGTTTTAATGATATATCATAACAGTTTTAATCATAGATCATAATTATATTTGTTTATGTCAATACTGGAGATAATTGTGCACTGTTGTTTAAAAACATTATGCTGTTAATTACACTACAATATTTTTTGACTAGTTATTGTTTGGATTGAATATTTAATATTATTTGTCAAAAAAAAATACAACGTAATAACGTCAAGTTCAATAGCTACAAATTGAAGGAAATTTCTTCATAACAACTTTTTAAATATATCAATAAAAAAATATAAATAAATCTTTACCTCAACTTTGTACATTTTAATTAATCCCCCATTGATTTTGGACCAACTTGAAACTCCACTAATTCCCCATAATTGATTTGAGTGTTCAGCAAATGGGCCCTTTTTCACTTTATTAATGTATTGAATGCAACCCATAAACAAATACTCATTTGCGTATTTATCAACAATGTTTTCACGCAAAAACGAAGATGGATCTAACGTCGGATGTTGAATCAATTGAGAACTGCCCCAAATGAATGGCACAAATTGGTGATCATCCAAACTCCAAACTCCATGACTTCCAGCTGGTTCCATACGATATGTTTGTTGCAATTTGCGTACAATTATTAAATACTTTGCAAAAATGGCACAAGCAACAGCCACTTTATCTTCTTCTGTTAAAGCACCAATTTTGAATAAGCAACATACAAACATTAAAAATGATATTTCATGACCAGTTCCATAATCTATTCGGGTTGAATTCCCAAAACCATCCACAAAATAATACATTATTTCAGGTATAGATCTATGAAGGTTAACTGGAAGAACCAGTTTTATTAAATCAACGGCTTGCTATAAAAAAATAATTTAATAAAATTTCAAAAATGATTTCCATTAACTCACATCTTTTAATTTTTGATAAAAATCCCGAAACGCTTTATTTCCAAACCGTTGGGGTTGTACTAATGCTGGAGTTTCATCAATCATCACACTTAATCTTTCTAATAATTCGAGAATTTTTATTACAGTTGGTGATAATTTCGCTTGCTCATGTCCTTGAATTATCCTTTTACCGCATACAGCTTCATTAATAGCTAATATGAACCCCAAATACTCATAATAAGCTTCTGACTTCTCCCATAATTGCATATCTTGTTGAGTTTTTACACATTTCGATGGAGTTTGATATTGATGATCCTCATCAACTAAAAAATACAACGTGTTTACTTCTTATAGCTAATAATAAGGTGAATTACCTATGAAATCCGACATTACAATTTCGGTTTTTCCTGCGGTTGGGTTTATATGGAACATATTCAAGTTTAAGACGGGTTTTTAACAAGTTCTGTCACTCATAAATTCTAACCTCAAACGTCAAAATTTTAGATTAGAATATATATGTTAATAAACGCAGAATTGCCGCAATATTTGTTATTATTTATGAATATAAATAAATTAAAATTAATAATTATATTACTAATGATATTGTTTATATAACTAGTTAATTTAATAATTTGTTGGTATTTTCAGGTTATATTTTGGTAATTAATTTGAAGTGTGAATTAGAGATGGCGCACATTATTTAATTTATTAAATTTATTAAAATTGATAAGTTCACATAATTAATTTATAATTTTTGTATGAATGTATTGTACAATATAAAATAAAACTATTAATTCGCATATATAATAATTAAAAACTAAATTTCTTTTCTAATTAAGACCATAATCAAGTTTCGACTGATACACAAAATTTAAAAATTATGCATAATAATAAGTTTTCTTTTTTAAATTTTTATTTTGGTATGTATAATTTGTTAATACATTATTAACTAATTCGTTTATTTACAAATTATAAATTGGCTAAGAGAAATTAATAAATTGGAAATTTGTATTTTTTGACACAATTCCAACGTGATGTCAAATATAGATCGAAGGAAATTTATTTTAATTTAAAACGTAATAATAATATTTTTCGTATACAAAATGGTTATGTTAAGAAATATATGTAACAAATTAATTAAACAAACATCGTTATTTCAACAAAGTAAACGGTACGCATTCATAAAGTTAAAAAAATTAATTTTTAGGTTATGTTGACAACCAAAAATTCCTTCATTTCTGTATAAATTGTAGATTTCTGAAGGTATCTCCTACGTTAAAAAGTTTTGATGGTGAAGGAAAAACGTCTGTGAATATACTAAATCAAGAGGAAGGTGCTAATTTGATGATTAACGGATTTAGTCAAGTTAATTATAAAAAAAATGATTTAAATGTAGTTTTAATTCTATTTGTTTTAGGCTGGATTTCGATTAAATAACGATTTAACAGTGTTAGGTCCAATAGCAATTTTTCCAAGGTAAACTTATAAATAAAAGTTTTTAAATACATTTATTTTATTGTGTTTTAGAACAATTTTAGCTTGGAATGTTAGTGGAATAGATGATATAACGGAAGAGTCTCTTCAATTATTCACCGTGCTAGAACCAAAATTAGATATTTTAGTGATAGGAGTTGGAGATAAACTAGACGATCTTAGTTTTCATAGGAGGTTCTTACCATTTATGCACAAACATAAGATTAATTTGGAAATATTGCCCACAGAACAAGCTTGCTCTACATTTAATTTTATGAGCTCAGAAGGAAGATATGTTGGTGGTGCTATGATACCTCCAACTAATATTAGTGCCCCTGAAGATGATGTGTTAGCTTCTAAAATGCGATATCAAAATTTATATGAATTTGAGTGATTTAAATAATAGTTAAAAATAAAGTGGTAGTTATTATATTATTAATAGTGATGGTGATAATAAAGTTCATGTAATTTATTTGTTTTCATACTATTAGTTTTATTGGAAAGTGTTATTATATAAATAAATTGTTCTAGAATAACATTAAAATCAAATGTTAGCTCAACATAAGTATGTATGGGGATGTTTTTCAGCAGCAGGAATTAGAAATCGTTATTTCATAAATGGAATATTGACAAGATATATAAACATTTTGAAAAAAAATAAATTTGAAGCATGCCACACTAGATTCTACACTTTTTTTTACTTTTAGACTGTGTATAACTGTCCAGAACACCTCAAAACACCACCACAAAGCCCACATCTTAATCCTATTGAGGTTTATTATCAATATTCAAGAAGAAATTGAAACATTGACTTAAAAATAACGTTGAAGACAGAATGGGCTAAAATCAATTAACCACTAAACTATTGGAATCGAGGTGTCTAGTGCTCTTGTTAAGCAACCAGGCTAGCCAACAAAGTATTAGTATTATCCCAAATATATAATTTTCTTAATCATTATTAACCTTTTACATGCCAACATTCCCTTTTTGGGAACATCACATTTGTAATTTTTTGTATAAAACTGACTTCATATTAAGAGTACCTAATTATTCAGTTGTAAAGTAGAAGCATTTTAGTTTGTTTCAATTTACATGTTTTCCATTTCTATCTTTTCTAGAAAAACACAAGGGAAGTGTCGGTACTGTACCTCAATGATTTCGTTGCAATTTGGTACAGCAATTACATTACATAGATTATACAGGTGTCCCGAAACTCAACGTCAAGCACCCGGTGAGAGGCCAACCCATACCTGTTCTGGTAAAAATGAGAAAAAAATTCCATGTCTCTTAGTTAAGTAGTAATAGACATATTTTTGAAAACGTTAAAAATCGGTCCTGTACATCATATCTTTAGGTACTACGGTCAGA